GGCTATATAAATATGTAGGAGTTGGGATGCGAGAGAAAGAACGTGATGTACTCTTTTGCCACTAATTTTTTAATGCGAGAGAAAGAACGTGACGATGTCAAGTCCCTCTCCCCTCCAAAAAAAAAAAAAGAAAAGACAACAAAAAAAGAGGAGAAAATGGCAGTAAGATTGCTTAATCTCAATTTCTTGGTTGAGTCCAATATAAACAATAAGTAAGCTCAAATATACATTACAATCGGTTGTCTCTCTTCAATTCCAATCTTTAGCAGCCACAGCAAATCAGTCAAGTAAGGTAGACTGAGTCACTATGCTGTGAAATGCCTAACATTTTTTTTTTTGGGTTTGACTGTCATAGGTGTCCGAACCAGTTTACGCATATATCGACTAATTTTCTCTTCAGTCCAATGAAAAGTAAATTATCTACGTAGGGACTGAAGTATTCATAAGTAAAAAATTTTTCGTATCCTGACGAGTTGCCAAGATTTAAACTGAGTTTATAGCTCATAATTGTTATTCACATATCTCTTTGAACCTTATACTGAACTAGATGAATAATCTCTTCCTTTTTTTTTTTTTAAATGAAGAGGAATAATCTCTTCTGGATTTTTTTTTCGGTATCTTTCTTTGCCATAGGGGAGACATTTAAGAACAAAAATATTTGTAAGTCATCCTTAAACTTATAATTCATCGACAAATAACATGCTCGGTTTTTATTTAATCACTTTTAAATATATTCTTAAACTCACATTCATCCACCCATCACATACTCAATTCATATACTTCCTTCTTAAACTCGTTGCACATTCATCCATAAATACTTAAGAAATGCAATTCTTATGCTCGTCATCATTCACCCACAAATAACAGGCCCGATTTGCATAAATATTGCTGGTACAAAAAAAAAAAATAGTTCACTAAATTAATAGAGGCGTGAATAAGATGCTATCACCTACAAAATAGGCAAAGTAGAACACCGCATGCATAGGTTAGGAACATCGGCGTGACGTCGCTTTAAGGCTCGTTTTGTTTGATTCTTACAGCTTGAGAAAATAGAAAATTCTTGATATGCCAACGTTTTGTGATTTCGTAATGGAGATGTAACACGTTTGTATAGACTTTTCGTGGCGGTTTACCTTTTAACCACACTGGTGGTGACCTTGTTAATGGTAAAGTAAAGGTTGTGATCTAAGGACGAGCAACTGCGGGTTTTTTCCAGTCTGGACTACTTTGGAGAGTAACTTTTTCAAGGGATGGTGGCTACTCTAGTTATACACTGGTAGAGAGACTACATATAATTTGCGGGTTTTTTCAACTAAGATTACTTTGGAGATCAACTTTCTCCTGGTAGAGGCTCTACATATGATTGCAACTCGTACTTTTTTACTTAGCAGAAAAAAAAATAAAAATAAAATTGATAAGTTATTCTCTAGTCCTCCATAGCTTGAAGGCATTCCTTAAGTTGAACATTCATCCAATGTACTTTCGCTAGTTCAAACCCGACCATTATTTTTAGGAGAATTACACTTATTTGGTATTTAAAATATTATACACTGATCTCTTAAAATTTATACGCGCGTATCACTTAGACCCTTATTATAAATATATCCATTAATAAATTATACTTAAGGCCCTTGAAGTTTGTAGTCTTATAGTATTTAGACTTCTTAAGTTTAAAATATTATATTTAGACTAAAAATATTTTAATCAAAGATAAACTATCAAATATTTTTAATTTTACAATTAAAATTTATATTCAATTGTATCGTTTATTGAAATAAAATCAAAAATAAAAATTTAATTTTTCTTAAAAAATTATAGTTAGTATACAATTATATTGTCTATTAAAATTTAATTTAGTCATTTAAATGAAAAAATTAAAATACTAAATTACCTCAATTAAAGTTAAAAGATATTGTGTCCATTATAATTTAACATCTTGTTTAATTTTTTAGTTTTATTCTAATAGATAGTATAATTATATACTAACTATAATTTTTTTAAAAATACTAGATTTTTATTTTTAATTTTATTTCAATAAATGACATAATGAAACATGAATTTTAGATAATTTTTTTTTTCTATTATGTATGACTTAGATCCTTTGTTTAATTTGTTAGTTTTATTCTAATAGATAGTATAACTATATATTAATTATGATTTTTTAAGAAAAAATTAAATTTTTATTTTTAATTTTATTTCAATAAATGATACAATAGAACATGAATTTATAATATTTTTAAATTTAAGAGATTTAAATATTATATGACTACAAACTTCAGAGGGTTTAAGTATAATTTATTAATAGATATATTTATAGTAAGGGTCTAAGTGTTACGTGCGTACAAACTTCAAGGGGTTTGCGTATAATATTTCAAAGGTCAAAGGATTTGAATAATCAAGTGACAAATCTCAGAAGATCTCTGTGTAATTCTTTCTTATTTTTATCTTGTATGTTGCCTCGTAGCCATTAGTATTGTTTCTTTGTGTTGACTGCCTAATAAACTACGTCACTAACCAAATACATTTGACCATCAATTTAATACAAATAACAACTATAGTCATTGGCTTATTAATTGATGAATGTCAAAAATAATAATCTTGGGTAGATGTGGAATTGTATAAATTATTATTATTTTTTTATTGGGAATCACATTGTCGCTTTCTAAGTATTAGCTTGGGTCGTAAGCTATTGACTAAATTTAAAAAATTAAATTTCATACATAACTATGTGAAAAATTATTTAATTTTTAACTATATCTTGATTATAGGGTCTTAAAATAGCACTTATAGGTTACAAATTCCATTCTAGTTTAATAAATATATTTTTATGTATGATTTAATATTTTTTAAATAAAAAACTAAAGTAATATTGAGTAAACAAATAAATAAATAAAAAAACACCGGAATGTTCAATTGTTTGAACTTTTTCTTTTTTTAATTTACAATTTTTAGGAAGACCTAGTCGTCTCTGGGCTAGGTCCAAACCCCTGTGCATTCACAACGAGTCTGATACGGTGCGTGTTGTGGCAGGTTTTTCCTGAGATAGGGTCCCACATGTTGACTCGAGACTTCCGTCTGATTACGGTGAATCTTGAATACGGCCAAGTGGCCAACATCAATTAAGCACATGCCCGAAAGAAAAGTAGAGTTGGACCCACCAGTGACATACAGATATTTGTTTGGATCAGGCCAGATGATATAAGATTACTTCAATCAACGACAAATCTAAGATATAGTCTCTTTCTAGAGTAATCAAACGGGTACCGCCGCAAGTTTATATTATATTTTTTGAATGCAACATTCAAATTAAAAATTTATACTTCAATAATACTAAAGTCTTGATTTATATTAGGGATCACCGGTGTAGAAAAGAGAATATCATAATTAGTACGTGAAACATGAAAAATTCATGAAATTTTTTTATATATATAATAAAATAACTTACAATTCAAATTTTAAAAATAAATAAAATAATTTTTTTTATTCGCGATTTAGATCGTTTTCAATTTTACTTTAAAGTTAATCTAATCGCTAATATTAACACCCTAAATTTAATAGGAAAAATAGGTTTCTAAGGGTGTGTTTGGAGTGATTTTTTAAAAACACTTTCAAAAATTATTTCTCATAAATATTTTTTAAAAAATAGTGTTGAAACCGCCCCACCACTACCTCTACTGCCACCACCGCCACCTCCACCTCCACCTCCACCACCACCGCCACTGTCGTCGCCACCACAGTCGCCACTATCACTATCACCACCACCATCACCACTACAACCACCATCATTACTGTTGCCACCACCGTCGCCACCATCGCCGTCGTCGTCACCACCACCGTCACCTCTACCACGGTCATTGTCACTCACCATAATTATCACCATCTCCTACCACCACCATTGCCACCGCCACCACGATCATTGCCACCCACCACAAACCGTCATTGTCTTCTACCACCACCATTGTCGCCCATCACTTCTCACCCCAACTACAACTTAATATTTAAATTCATTTATCTCTCCTTTATATTTGTAATTTAATTTTTGATATGAATACAAATATTTTTTATTATTTTTTATTTTTTATTACTCTGTATCTTCAGACATATGCAATAACTAGTTGTTTCATATTTTATCTGTCATGTTTGTTTTCCATTAATAAGATAATTATTTTACGCAATAAATCTTGATAATCTAAATTAACAGAATACTTGTCTTATTTTTAGTAAATTTGTGTATAGAATTTCTCATATTAAAAAAAACTAAAATTATAAGGAAATTTGATAGTGTAAATTATATATAAGATTAATTTAAATTATGGGGAGAATCACACATTGTAATTTTAAAAGTTTTAAGAATTTTTATTTTATATATCTATTTATTAAATTTTTTATATTACATCCTCAATTTGTAAAAAATGTTATAAGACAATCCTTATGTTAACTTGTAGGGATTATACCAGAAAAAACCAATCAATTGAGGTTGATATAATGAATAATAAAAGTTAATGGATCATATCATAATATTTTATATATTTATTGTACGATGTGATAAATTTAATCTTTAAAAATATAAAATGAGAATTTTTAAATTTTTAAAAATTTAAAGTGCAGTTAGTCCTAAACAATGATTATGAGAAATGTTATTTGAACTTAATTTATTAAACTAATTTATTATGATCTTTAGATTGACTGTAAATTTTATTAAACAATGAAAATTGGTGTTGATTTAATAATTTTAATAAAAACATATCATTAGAATAATAAATTAAATTTGAACAATATTATTGGATAATTACTGAGGTAAGTTCAACCATCCCACTGCATGGTCCTTCCATTAAACTTTTTTTTTATTCAATTGTTAGTGTGTCTAAACTAATTTATATGTATTTTGATTAATTTTTTTTTAAATCAATTAAAAATATATTATAAAATTAAAATATTTATAAGTGATTTATCGCTGCCATCACTTAAACTACGACTTGGTTATCCTCTCACTGAGTCGCGATCCTCTTCAGCGAAGGTTCGTGACACCTTGTAAAAGATAGGCCTCCCGCTCTTTTAAAGACAACCTTTCCTTCGTAATTGAAAGAGTTGACATCTCTCTCTCTCTCGACGTCTACTACTCTCTCTCTCTCACCGTCTCTCAGGTACGCAAGAAACAAAATATCTTCTACTCTTCTTCATTTCTTGCTTTGTTCTCTGCTCCGATTCGTCGAATCCTAGGTCTGGTTTTAGATAATTTTAAGTTGATTATCAAGTAATTACCGAACACAATTCTGTGACATATTTTAGATATGAGTTTTTTTTTTTTGCGGTTCCTCCGTTCATTTCTCTTCTTGATGCTCAGGGTTTTCTTTGCTGCTTTTGTGAATATATGTGGTTGTTGATTTGATCTGTTTACTTCCATTTGTTGTGGTGGTTATAGGTGTTGCAGAACTTTGTTTTGGTATGATTTATACATGTTTTAGCTGTTTTTCACTATTTCGATTCTCTTTACGGTGGCATGGTTTTGTTTCTTTTCTCGATTGTTGGGTCCTGGAGGCGTAAATAGATTTTCTGTCTCTTCGGGTGTTTTGCTATCTGTTTATTTTTGTATGGATTTTCTGTAGTTTTTTTTTTTTAATGCTTCTAGGGTTTAACGGAACTGATTTTCTTATCGACTTATGATTATTTCACGTTTTAATTTGTGGTTTTACTTCTTGGTTCGATCATGTTGCTGATCTATGCCTAGACGTCGAAAAAACCACCTTGTTTTCTAAGAATTGGATTAATTAGGTTGAGGCTTATCGGGTGACTTTTCATTTGGTATAGGTTTTTTGAAGTATCCATGGTTATGGATCCACGTTTCAGTGATTTCTCTGACTCAGTAAATGGTTTCAATTTTGAAGATGCCTCCATTTTACCCAGTTTCGATCAGTCTCAGAACCTTACCAGTGGATTTAAATTTCAAGATGGTTCCTTAGATGTCAATTTCATGGATATGCCATCCCTTCCCACAAGTCCAGACTTGGGTAGTTTCCCTCCGTCTTCAAGCGTGAGCTCAGAGGCGGGCTCTCCTGATGATCAGGAGGATCCTGTTTTCAAGTACCTTAACCAAATACTCATGGAAGAGAACATGGAGGAGAAACCCAGCATGTTCCATGATCCTTTGGCTCTAAAAGCCACTGAGAAATCATTGTATGAAGTCCTTGGTGAGAAGTATCCTTCCTCCCCCTACCAACCTCCCTCACTGTACATCGACCAAAATGTTGAAAGCCCAGACAATTTTTTCAGTAGCTCCAGTGACTACAGTACAAACAGCAGTAGTAGTGGTAATACTTCCATTGATCGTCAATGGATTGTTGATCCGGGAGAATATAAATCTTCAGTAATACAAAGTCCTCCTTCGGAGTATTTTTTCCAACCAGCATTGCAAACCAGTTCACAAAGGTCATTTGGCTCTACAAACAACTTCAGTAATAATGTGAATAGCCAGGTGGACTCTTCTGCAAGTGCCCAGCTGGTTCCAAATATATTTAGTGACAGGGAGTCTATCTTGCAGTTCCAGAGAGGGATGGAGGAAGCTAGAAAATTCCTTCCTAGTGGAAATCCATTGATTATAGATTTGGATAAGTACAATTTGCCTCATGAGTCCAAAGAAGTGGCTCAGGAGGTTGTAGTCAAGGTAGAGAAAGATGAGAGGGATGACTCTTTTAATGGTTCGAGGGGAAGGAAGCATCATCATCAAGAGGATGATGATTTAGAAGAAGAGAGGAGTAGCAAACAATCGGCAGTATACGTGGAAGAGGCTGAGTTATCAGAAATGTTTGATAGAGTTCTTCTTTGCAATGACACGAAAGGGGAGCCTACATGTTGTGACGTTGATGTGGAATTGCCAAATGGGCCAGAGGAGACGCTGCAGCAGAATGGACAACCACGTGGATCTAATGGGGGAAAGGCTAGTGCTAAGAAACAGGGTAATAAAAATGAAGCTGTGGATCTAAGGACACTTTTGATTAGCTGTGCACAATCTGTTGCTGCCGATGATCGCAGGACTGCAAATGAACAATTAAAACAGATTAGGCAGAACACTTCAGCTTCTGGCGATGCATATCAGAGGATGGCCAATATCTTTGCTAACGGTCTTGAGGCACGCATGGCTGGCACTGGAACCCAGCTCTATGCAGCCCTTGCTTCCAAGAGGATATCAGCTGCTGAGAAGTTGAAGGCTTACCAGCTTTATCTTTCAACCTGCCCATTCAAGAAGATTTCAATTTTCTTCGCAAATAAAATGATTTTATATACAGCATCAGGAGCTTCAACGCTGCATATTGTAGACTTTGGCATCTCATATGGTTTCCAGTGGCCCATGCTAATCCAATTCCTTTCAAGCTGTCCTGATGGCCCCCGAAAGCTGCGCATTACTGGCATAGAGCTTCCCCAACCTGGTTTCCGACCTGCAGAGTTGGTTGAGGAGACAGGGCGTCGTCTGGCGAGGTATTGTGAGCGCTTTAGTGTTCCTTTTGAGTATCATACCATTGCAACACAGAAATGGGAGACAATAAAAGTTGAGGATCTCAAGATTGAGAAGGGTGAGGTGGTTGCTGTGAACTGTCTGTTTCGCTTTAATAACCTACTTGATGAGACAGTAGTGGTTGACAGTCCAAGGGATTCAGTTCTAAAATTAATCAGGCAGATCAACCCAAATATTTTCGTCCAGTCTCTTATTAGTGGATCTTACAATGCTCCCTTCTTTGTCACTCGGTTCCGGGAGGCACTTTTCCACTACTCTGCATTGTTCGATATGTTCGACACTACCATATCCCGTGACGAACCACTGAGGTTGCATTTTGAGCAAGAGTTCTATGGGCGTGAGGCCATGAATATTATTGCATGTGAAGGCTCAGAGAGGGTTGAGAGGCCCGAGACATACAAGCAGTGGCAGGTTCGGAGTATGAGGTCTGGTTTCAAGCTTCTTCCATTGAACCAGGAGCTCGTGAAGAAGTTGAGGGGTAAGGTGAAGGCAAAGTACCACAAAGATTTTGTGTTCGATGAAGATGGTCACTGGATGTTGCAGGGTTGGAAAGGTCGAATCATCTCTGCCAGCTCCTGTTGGGTACCTTCATAATAGTCTTTGAAGGAATTTTACTAGAATACAGATGGTGAATACTGATTCCTGGCGAGGATATAAGATAATGAAAGCAATGGTACTGATTTTTTGTGGTCCATTTTTCTCTCTCACCCACCCCCCCACCCCCCCCCCCCCAAAAAAAAAAAAAAAACACACACACAGAGAGGCACATGTGGCATGCATACACATGCACACAAGAAGCACAGACACATGAATATGTGTGTGTTTAGTCTTGTATGTTGGCACATCCCTCGGGTGTTATTTTTATGTATTTGAATCTCCATGTATCAGCCCCAAATGTGGCCGCATGCCTCAGGTGTTTTATTTGGAATATAAGCTTTGTTAGTGCTTAATGTTTTCCATCATGAGTTTTAAAAGTGCTAACATTGTAGGTTTTTTCTTGTCAGATAATCTGCAGTAGCAACTGTCCTCTGGCAGAAGGCACTTATGGGTTAGGAGGATGATATGGCATCCACTATTCTCACCAGCAGTCTCTGCATTACTGTTATCGCTTAAATAAATATGTGGCTGAATGCTTACTGGCCGTGGTGTTAAGAATCATTGAGCAAACACGGTGGAGAATTATGGAACTTATGCTGCTCTCGCATAGAAAAGATTCAATGCTAATTACAAACCTTCTTGTGTTGATGAAGCTGTTAATTCACCAGCACTACCTGTTAGTTTTGCTTGTTCAGATAATATGAGTGAATTATGTTCTTCCCTCTCTAAATATTCCCGTTGATGTGGATATTTTCATAGGGCTAGGTGACTTCTGCTTCTTGCTTGCAGATTTTCTCAGGAGCTAATAGTTGTATCATACTTCTTGTATGTTAGACAGAAGTATTAATGTATTTTGGCTTTCGAGAATTGGTTGTCCCCATCCTTGTTTCCTGGTTTTGTGAGCATTTCATTATGTATATGTGGTGCAACAATCTACTTAAACTAACCAGAAAAATGCGTTCACGGTTATTTTCACAGAGGGTGTTTTTGTAGAGACTAATCAGTGTACAACTGAGGAGAGAATCTGAAATGCATAGCATGGGATACCAGTGGTTCTTATATGTTGGTTACTTGTCCGTCCTTACATTTGAACTTCTTATTGAGGCTTTTGAAGGAGTGTCTTCTTACTTGTGCTGTCCATAATGGACGTTGTCGACTTTATTATCCTTCCCTTTCGGTGAGGATACAGGCTTGATTCGTTAATTTCTTGTCATTTGACATCGATTCGTGCTGCTGAAACTGATTAGCTGCAACAGTGACCATCTTATCTTGGTTATGTTTCTTCTGATGGAACCATGAGAATGATGAAGTAGACAAGTAATCACTTGTATTTATTCTACTGCTGCTAGTAATTAACTATCACACCCGATCTGTAGTTTTGACTCACTTTTGATCCAAGACTGCAACTGGATGAGTGATTTTTGCTTTTTTGTCGCAAACGAAAAAGTTCTACATACGAGTGTGTTTATTAAACTAAATTCAGCACTAAAAATGAATGTAGTTGGTACTTATTAATTAAATTTGTTTGATAATTAAAATTTAAATTTTTTTAATGTGTTAAGGGTTTCTTAAAAATAAGTTACAATATTAAGCAGAAGATCCTTTACTTAATTCTGAAAGCTAAAAACGACAAAGCCTCTTTAATAAAATTTACAATATGACACTTATGTTCTGAAATATTTTATAATTCTATTAAAAATCTAATTAGTTTTCTCTCCAAAATTTTTAACCTATCTATCCTCCTAACCGATCATTTTCTTCTGCGGGTAACAACTAAGTTTTTTCGTGAACGAGCCAACAATGTGGTGATGCTTTTTTTTCCCCAAAAAAAGGAAGTAGCCTTCCAAAATGAGGAAAGAGAGGCAAGAAAATGATGTTATCGGAAGACTATAATTGAATCAAATTTTGACATACGATTTTGCAGTAATAGGTTTCAATTAAATCTAAGGTTTTAGACTTCTTGAATTGACAAAATTAGCATCTCTTTTTTTTCTTTTTCAAAGTCAAGTTTGTCGCTTGTTAGTTAAGTTTTGAAACCTTTATTTTATTATATGTTGGAATATTTAAAGATGCCCAAAATTAAAACCCTATACAAAGGGCTAGTCTTGATCTCGCTTGGTAATTCCCCCCTTACGATGATTGTTGAATCAACATTGATTTCGTGCTTGAGTTGTAGGAGGAGCCCTCCATACATCGACTCAAATAATTCGTCATCAATAAAGAGAAGAGCCTTTACTTTAAGTTAGGTTGATCTCGTCATGCACACAATTCTTCCATCCATCGATTACCCCTTGCACTTTGGACAATTGTCCGTAGCATCATAAGGAAGATCCCTTTCGAGATATAAGAAAGAGTACGTAATATAAGAGGTTGGTATTTCTTAACACGATGTATAACACGAAATATAGGGCCTTCAGCATTGAAAGAAAAAAATTAACACCATTCAATGAGACTTGGTAAACCAGCTCTCAAAAACTGAAAAGTCTTGAATTCTGGAAGTGCCCAATCACATCACATTGCTTCCCCCCACCACTCACCTACCCAAAAATCCCCTTTGGAGGGACGAAGCTGGCTGGTTCACAAAACAATGTATGTATACCTCCAGTTTTTGAATGCTACAGTATCGACAAACACAATTATTGGAGACCCCTGTCTGCACTTTTGAGATTTCAGAGCATAACCAGACTATAAATTGGGTCAATGCATATTGCTTTTTTTTTTTTTTTTTTCTCTAGTGTATGGAGACCCTCACGTAGGGTGGTGACAACCTACTTGTATTATCAATCCAATACATACACAATATGGGAAATGATATGATACGTATAAATATGAAAAATTCAAAAAGGACAAGTGGTACAATCTAATGGCTGAGGATGAATCAGAAAAGATTTTAGATGAGGAAAGATCTTGAAAAGTAGAGAGCAGAGCAGAGCAGCACGTGATATTGTGATAATATTGTTTATAGACAATTTGGAGCACAATGATAATCGTTGAGAAAGAAACCTTAAGTAAATGCTAAGTGGCTAGAAAAAATGGTTCCAACAATTAGAAGTTATCGTCTATAAATATATTAGAGACACGTATCACAGAGAAAGAATCTATGATCAACTCTCTCAAAACTTGTTTTTACACAGTTGTTTAGTTTCATATTTTTCCTTTTGCTTTGTAATTTTGTTATCACTCGAGAAATTTCTTTTAAGCACATTGTTTAAATATAATTGCTCTGTTTCGTTATGTCCAGTACTTTTTCTTTTCAATTCCATTATGTTTTTGCTTTCTCAGTTCGTTAATTCAATCCATAAAAAAAAAATAATTTAAATTCTTGATCTCCAAGGTAGAACTCACACAGCCACCCAAACCCACTGCCGCCTCAGTCGTCTGTTGATTGTTGAAACGTCGCTGGCTGGGAAATAAATGAATTCAGGAGTCAATGATAGGATAGGACCAACCGCGTTTCAACCTGTCCTCATTTAATTGGCCTCAGTTTTAACGTTTGCAATTTCAAGAAAACTCTCTCTCTCTCTCTCTCACACACACACACACACACTGATACCCACAGTACTTAAAAAAAAACCTCGTGCAAGATAAGTAGTTTTGTTGACCCATTCTCTCTCTCTGAAGGGTGGGGAGGGCCTACTAAAAAGAACTTGGGCGCCAAGCTTGTTGAATTTTCTCCACAGGCTCTTCAGGTAATCTCGAGGTCAGGAGGATTTGATGCGCAGACACATAATGTCAAGTGTATGACGTGTTAAGAATCGTATAATATTATGTTAAAATTTATTTAATTCATACTTAATTAATTTAAGATTAATCATAAATTACATTCAGGAAAAATTTCTTGAATTTGAATTTGTGCTCTCAAAAATAAAAATTTTTAATTTGCATTCTTAAAAATATAAATCTGTATCAATGTTCACCTGAAGTTAACGATGGTCCTATTTACCGTTTAAAACTAAATGAATAAATTACATATAAATTTCTTCATGTTTATCACTTAATCACCTAAAAAACCTTTGAAATATTACACCTACTCCCCCTCATAATCAAAATATGACTAAAAGTGTTTTTTAGTTGGAATTTAAATAATTTTGTTCAAGTGATATATTTCATTAGATATAAAAAATATTATGTAATACTAGTACTCTTAAACATTATATAATACCTGTATTGTATGAAAATTTTATAATACCGGTGCTGTCTATTGAACTTTAGAGTATAACAGACCTATAAAATAAATGATAACATGATAATTATAGTTTTTTTATTAGCATGATATCATGTTTTTAAAGGTTACATTAAGAGATATTGACGACTGGGGTTATGTGTTATAAGTGGAGAAACGTTATGGAGTGTAGGTACAATATTCTAAATGTGAGGGGTTTAGAGATGAAGTGACAAATCTAAAGAAGTTTTGGTGTAATTTATTCATTTAATTTAGACAGCATACTGACGGTTATTAACTTTCAGATGCATATTAATATAGATTTATATTTTTGAAGGTACAAATTAAAATTTTGATATTTAAGAATACAAATTGAGATTCAAAAATCTTTCGGAATACAATTTATGATTAACCCATTAATTTATTATCGTTAATAATCAAGCTTGTATTGGGTTGTCTGTACATCGTACTCAGCCGAATTCGTGTTGATCCATTTTTCAAGCGAATTGGACGATTCCAATACTTCTTTATACTAATTACTACAGAATCTGTTAAAATCAACGCTAAATCCGCATCAATTTATTGCGGAATTGATATTTACAGTTACCTGACCTACTGCTCAAGGTTTAGTCCAACGATGAATTGTGACGAAACTAATTAATTAATTATTGTTGTTGAATCCTCGTGTAAACGCCAGAAAGAAAAATTCCCCTCACATAACAGCCTCCAAGAGAAACATTCGCCAAATAAACCGACTAAAAAAAAAAAAAACTAATCTCTTATGGATCGTTTTGTAGGATGGATAAAAAATAGAAGAGATAAAAAATTAGAGGAAAGAAAGTTATTTTTTTATTTCTATGTTTGGTAAAAAGGATGAAAAAAAATGGGAGAGATGCAAAATAAAGTTTAAAATAAATAGGAGTAAGATTGAATATATGCAATACAATTTTAGTAATAGAAGAAATGGATAAATGAAAAAGTTAAGATTTAAAATTAAGAAATAACAACGAAAAAACTATTTAGATATTTAGGATCGATCATTAAAAATGATAGAAAATTGGAGATGATGTCACTCATATAATCAACGTCCAATTGACTTAAGTTGAGGAAATCCTCTAACGTATCTATATAATAAAATAACTTATAATTCAAATTTCAAAAGATAAACAAAATAACTTTTGTTATTCACGGTTGAGATCACTTTAAATTTTACTTTAAAATTAATCTAATGGCTAAAATTAACACCCTAAATTTATAAAAAAAAAATAGACTCCTAAGAGTGTGTCTGAAGTAATTTTTTAAAAGTACTATAAATTATTTCTCATAATTTTTTTTTTTAAAATAGTGTTTGAAACCGTCTTACCACTACCTCTACAACCATTGCCGCCGCCACCACCACCATTACCATCGCCGCCGCCACCACCCCCATCACCACCGTCGCCGCCACCACCACTATTCCCACCACCATCGCCACCACCTCTGTCACTGTCACCACCACCACCACCACCCTGACCGTCGTCGCCGTCGCCACCCCCACCCCCACCATTGCCACCACCACCACAGTTATTGCCACTTACCATAACTATCACCGTTTCCTATCACCACCACCACTGTCGTCCACCACCAATTACCCCAACTACAAATCGATGCTTAAATTATTTTATCTCTTCTCTATATTTATGATTTGATTTTGGATATGAATGCAAATATATTTATTGTTTACTATTTTTTATTATTCTGTGTCTTCAGACACATGCAATAACTAGTTATTTGATAGAAGAATACCAATAAAATTAAAAGATAAGTTTTAACA